AGGGGACGGAGGAGGAGCAGGGGCTGCCAGAGGGAGCCGGGGCTCTGCTGCGGGGCCGGGCGGTGGCGGTGGGCTCAGCTGTGCCGTTGGGCATCTTAAAGGTCTTTCCCAACCCAAAAAGGTTCTGCGTATCTTCCCCCACGCACCTCGTCATCCCGCATCACTGCTCGATGGGCAATTCCGGCATTTTGTGACTTGGTGCCCAAGGGAAAGAAAACCGAACATTTTCAGCTTCCTGTCTCACAGGAACGTCAGCCCAGGCCCAGCCCTGCTTATCCCACTTGGGCATTTTGCTGCAGCTTTATCATTTTTCCAGGAAAGGGAAAGGGAAAGGTGGCCCAAAGGGGCCAGAACAGGGGGACCTTCCCAGTGCAGCTTGGACTTGGAGCACCGCAGGCTCCACACACACCGAGGCCGGGACCAGCCAGAGCACGTAGGGCAGGGCTGGGGTTAAGGGAACCTGTGGGCTCCACGGGGAGCCTGTCCGTGTCCCACTGGCTCCAGGGAGGGATTTAGATTTGGGGTCCTCACAGGACGAATGAGGCGGGGTACACACAGGGAGAAGAGATGGGAAGGATAGAGCAAGGAGGGGGAGAAGGAGATAAAGCAAGGAAGGGGAGAAGAGAAAGGGAAAGCAAAGTTGGTACACTTGAATTTCCCCTTCTCCACTGCCAGCACCATCCCAGCCTCCTCCCAGCCCATCACCCCAGCCTCAGCCCTGACATCTACCTGCTCCAGCCCCCATCCTGCCCACCCTGTGCATCAGACAGACGCCCACCAGACAGTTCCTGGACAGCTTGACATCCACACCCCACCATCATCAGGTCTTTTGCCTTCCCTGACGACTTCTTTTGAGCGCGTCAGTGCCACTGAGAACCTCAGTTACAAGCCTGGCAGCCAGGGAGAGCTGCTGCATCCCCGTGTCACTGAAGGCACGTTTGCATTCCTTCCCACAGCTGTGTCTGCCAGGAAGGGCGCGCGAGACGTGGGACAAGGCGGACTGGCAGAGCCATGGAATGGTGTGGGCGTGGAGTGCTGGAGCAGGAGCTGGGAGTTCCTGGCACACAGGCCTTGAGGCATCCAAAAGATGAAGCTCACCTCAAGCTTGCAAGCAACGCACAGCGCACGTGGGAGAAAAAAGCCCCGAAGGAGTCTTCAGGCCCATGGCAAGGCGGCAGTACCAGCAGGGACCCTCCGCCCGCTGGTGCCCCAGCCCGGGCCCGAGGCCGCCCCGCTTGCCGGCTGGTCCAGCTTGAAGATTGCTGGTGAATTCCCCCGCACGCCCCACGCACACCCGCTTTGGGGGGTACAGACACTTCCTCCCCGCCTCGCAGCCAGCGCTAGGCACGGGGCTGGGACCCACGGTCCTGCTCCAGCTGCTGGTGCCCGGCCCTTCACTCACCTCATTCACACCGGTGCCCCCAGGTAGTTCGTTTTCAGGACGCACACCCTTCCCACCCCGCTGGCTGTAGGTTAAAAACCCCCACTTGCTCCAGTAGTTGGCACTGAGAACCCCCTGTTCACTCCAGTAGCTGCACTGGGACCCCACTCACTCTGGTATCAGACACACTATGGGCCGGAGGCACCTACACGCCCAGTTTGACTCCAGTAGCTGGCCCCAAACCCATTCATACACACAGAGGTCTCCCCAGTAACTGCACTTAGTCCTTGCGGCACGCTCACACTGGTGAGGTTTGTTTCCTGCCATTGTCTCCATCTCTATTTTGTCAGGTCTGTGTCTTGGTATATTTTGGGGTTGGTTCCCCTTTTTCCCTTAGTTGCTGACCAGCTCAGATAACCTCGCTGGAATAAACCTCCTCACCCTCTCACTGATCAGTCAGTGTGACTGACCAGGCTTGGTTCTCACCGCTGCCTCCCTTATCATTTGTGGGTCAGATTTGTTTAACTGGATGTTTTTACGGCTTCCTCCCCTTCTTATTACCCCTCGAGATGCTGAAGAAGGTCCTTGACCAGCCCTCCTGAAGAGGCAGACACTCTCCTTCCACACACCCTTCCACGGACCATCACCCGGTTGCCTGAAGTCGCCCACAGCTGTGGCTCACCTGAAAATAGCGGATACAGAGACCAGCCCAGTCCAGCTCACTGAGTTTATTAGCAAAGACTACAAGCGAATACACGGAATCACCACTTTAGCCAGCTTGCCGGGAGGAGAGTGCTTGGCTTTCCAGCGGCGTGGCAGGAACCGTGCACCAAAACCCATCAACCACCTCGCTGGGGCAGCCCCAGCTGGTTCCACGTTCTCCAGACCATGGCTCCGTGGCCACCAGCCCTCCTTGATGGCGCCGACAGTAACGACGCGCGCGCGCGCGCTGCCGACGGCTGCTGAGGGAGCTGCAAAGACACTTCTCTCTCCACGCTGGTGCTCCAAAGGCTTTTGCTCGACAGCTGAGCGAGCGGCAAGAGCAGTTGTGCCGGCGGCTGGGGGAGGGTCCTCCGGGCCCAGGCGCTGGTCGGAGTGGGAACACACGAGGCATCCCTAAGGAGCGCTGCGTGAAACCACGCCCCAAATGCATGGAGGCTGTTGTGTTAACTGCCTCAATGACGTTGGAGGCAGGAGAGCTGCCGACCCGAGCACAAGCTTGGTTTGTCGGTAAGGGATCGGTAAGGGAGCGACAATCCCCAGAAGCAAAATGGCACAGCTTGCGGCTGGTGCTGAGCTGCTCCCAGGTCCCGCAGCCCTCTCGTTAAGCGTGACAGGTACTTGCTGCAGGGACATTATTTTTTTTGCCAGTGTCACTTGTTTTCTCACAGCAGCTGGTGAAACTGGTGCTTTCTAACGCTGCCTTTGCTCTTGCTCTGGCACTTGGTCTTAATCTTGGCCACACGACTGCTCGCTGCCGAAGTGTTTTTCTTTTTTGCTCTAAGATGAGGCGGAGGTAAATGGATGCTCCATCCCTGGCAGTGTTCAAGGCCAGGTTGGACGCGGCTTGGAGCAACCTGGTCTAGTGGGAGGTGTCCCTGCCATGGCAGGGGGTTGGAACCAGATGATCTTTAAGGTCCCTTCCAACCCAAACCGTTCTGTGATTCCATGTTTAGGGCAAGAAGGGATGAGGATTCCAACTTTATCATGGAGCGAGGGAATTTCTGAGTGACGGCAGGAGCAGCACGCCTTATTTCACCCAACTTTGTGAGCAATTAGATACCTATTTCTTCACATGGCTTGAGGTCGTGGTCATTCTAACAATATTTTGCGGATAGATTTGTACTATGTTCTTCTAAAATGCAAAGCAGTTGCGGTTCTTCCTTCATATCGACTTGGCCTAAAACTTCTCCAGTTGGTCCAGTGCTTCCTGCTTTGTTATTTTCTGCCACTCAGCAGGGATTTCTCCTTTGCCATGAAATTTCCCGTTGTACAATCTTTCCAGATCTGTCCTGAAATGAGACACGAACCATTTCCAGTACGCTTGCATGGATGGATCAGGACGAATGTTCCACTTGGAATAAGGTGGTCCTGCAGACCGGTATTGCCTGTAGTAGATCCATGTGTCTGCCCCAATCCGGAATAAACAGTCACTTGCAACACTGCTAGAACAAATATCAATGACCAGATTGTCTGTTTTATGCCACCTCCTTCCCGTGAAACATTCCGGACGATGGAAGACGAGCTGGTGATCTCCGTCGTGATTCGGCATGGTGCTTGTGCAAATAGCCCCACAAAAGGGACACTGCTCCCAACACCCGGCAAACTGTTCCGCGAGGATCAGGTAGGGCTGCCTTTCAAACGAGCTCATATCAGCACTCGCAAGCTCTTCCTTGAGCTGATCCTTCAGGGGAGCCAGCGCTTCTGTCATGGCGTTGTTCAGGAACTCTATGTCGGTTATCTCCTGATGCTCAATGCCCTTCAGGTCCCTTCTGGGCAAGTTTATCACCTCTCCAAGCGTGCTGCAAAATTCATCCAGCCAAAGAGAGATTTTGTCGTTCCTGTCTTTCCTGTCTTTGACAGTTTGGGTTGACAGAGAAACGGCTCTCTGGATGCATTCGTAGAGGTGAGTAAGGGAGCAATCTAGAAACATCTCCAGCCGCCTGTTCTTGTCTAAACAGTACTCATCCACACGTGTCTTAATGTAATTCTCAAAAAAGCCTCGTGGGTTTTTAAGGTATTCCTTGAAATTCGCGAACTTTTCTTCTTGCGCCATGTATCTCAGTATGCAAACCTCCAGAGAGGATCTAGCGCCACGGAAATCTGTGGCTTTACCCTTCATGTCTCCAGCGATGTCAAGAGCTGTCTTCTCATAGACTGCGTGGCGGAGAGCTGGGGCAATCTTGTCACACAGGAAAACAGCAAATGTTGTAATAGAAGTGGCTCCTTGGCAGGAAATCTGGAAACATTTGAAGAAATCTTCTCGCTTGCTCTCCAGGTAGATGGCTGGATCATTTGCTTTTCTGAATGCTTCTTGCATGGCTTTAAACCTTTCTGCTGCCATTCCGCACAGATACAGTGATAAATCTATTCTGTAATCTTTATTAAAATTATATTTTGCAGTGCTAGGGACGGAGTTCGCACCTTTCTCTACTTCGTTTAGTATTTCATGAATAAAACTGCGACTGTAATCCCTTTTCTCCTTTTCCTTCTTATCGATGTTTGCCGTCACGCACTCTATGATGCTGTCTGTAATGCGGTGCATGGTCCTCACATCATCATCATCAAAATCGAAAAGGAAGCCCAAACGGGATTTCTTAGAGACATGTTTCTTCAAGTCAACAGAAAATCTTCTGTGTCTGGGAAACGTACTGATTCGTGTGTGTAACTTAGGCTCCCTAAAGTGCTCTAGAAGGACATCCTCTATTTCCACATCGATATCAGCCTGTTCCGGCGGGGGAGCAGCAGAGGAGACTTCAGTGATCCAGCCTGTCCAGAGCTCAATAAATCGGTCTCGCAGTTCTCTGTCACTTAGACTGCAGCCTTTTAGAGACAGAGCCAACTGCCTGCTGCGTGCCAGGAGCTTGTTCTCATAGTCTGACTTCCTTTCATCCAGTTTACGCTGGCTCTTCTGTAGTTCGATGAGATTCTCACACTTCTTTCTAGTTTCAAAGAGAAGAGACTCTTTTAGTTCTTTCAGCTTCAGTTCTGTGTTGCCTTTCCACTGGATCAGGATCTCACAGTCTCTGTCTTCACTGAAATACTTTTCCATGTCTTTCGTGATGGCATCACTCGTCCCTTGCACCAGTTTTTCAAGGTATCCTGTGGTGACACCCTGCAAGTCCCCGTTCCGGATTTTATTGTCCAGTTTCATTTGCAAGTCTAAGATGTGACTCCTCAGCTGCCAGGTCCACTGACCAAATGCGGTTTCCAGTTTCTTGAAGGCAGCAACCTCCACTGAATTCTTGAAGCTGAAAATGAAGTTTTCATTCAGCAAAGCATTCCAGAGGTCACAAATACGAACTTTCAAGCTCGAGAGTCTCAAAATTCTGCCCTGCGACTCCTTCTTGGCAGCCTGGAGAATTTTGCTCTTTAATTCCTGGACATTCTGGCTGTAGGTGGGGTTGGGTGGTGCCATTGGGGGGTTTCCTTCCCACAGGTGAGCAAAATAGTGAATGTGGGTGTTCACATCAAAGCGGCTGACGTCACTGAAGCAGGAGACGTCACAGAATTCCTGCTGGGCAGCTGTCACGGTCATTTCATCCAGCTTTTCCTGCAGACGTCTTTGTCCTTCCATGTTCTGTTCCTTGGCAGTTATTTCTCCCACATTTTGGTGCACAAAGAGGCAGCTTGGGGAAAGATTGACTTGCTTCATCCTCAGAAAAGCCTGCACAGAAATCTGAAGGACATCTTGCATTTCTGAAGGGTTTTCTCCAAAGATATTGATCAGAGTCATGTTGCCGATGCCAATGACAAAGGTGGCCAGCTCGTTGTCATGATTAAGGGACTGTTTGTTGGCCATCTCTATGGCACGAAGTCCCTCTGTGTCAACAACTAGCATGTAGTCAAAGTCCAGATCTTGTTGCAGCTTCTCATCCACTTTAATTAGCTGCATAAACGCTCCCCGGGTGCATCTCCCTGCACTGACATTAAACTGAAGGCCAAACATGGCGTTCAAGAGGGTTGACTTCCCTGTGCTCTGGATGCCAAGCACTGACAGCACAAATACCCGCTTGTCCCCTAGCTTCTCAATTAATTTGTCAAAGATTGCGCCGACCCATTGCAACGGTACGTAAGAAGCATCGCCATCCATCAGCTCGACAGGATACCCTGAAACCATCAGATCAGCTGCAATTTCAGGTAGTTTGACAAAACAGTCATCCCTGGAGTTCATTGATTCCAGCGCCTCATAAATCTGCCCTACCTCTCTCAAAATGTGCTCAAGGCCAATGGACGAATCATTGATTTCGTTGGAGAGGGCATCTAAATTTTTCAGCAGATTGGGTTTCAGATTGTTTTTTTCATTGCTTTTCTTTATGGCCAGGATTTGAGACCATAGCTGGTGGTATTGTTTCTTCAGTTCATCAAGGCGGTCAGAGGACAGGTCATCCATGAAGATCTTCATCCACTGCAGGAAGTACTTCTTGGTATCTGCTGGCTGTGACCGGAGAAAGCCAAGGACTGATTTCATCAGCTGATTGAGGGGGAACGCTTGCTGTAGTTGCTTCCTTCTTATTGCTGACTTCTCTGACTCAATTTGGCTCCGATGATGCTCTATGCTCTTGTTCCTCTTCTCCTGCAAGCGCGTGAGTTCTTTGTCCTTTTTGCACCACATGTACCACAGTTTGCCTTGAAGTGGCAGCAGCTGGGATTTGATCTCAGACAACTTCTCTTTCTTCAGAAGCTTCACCAGTGCTTTTGCCTTTTCCTTGGCCATCACACACACATCCGTATCTTCATCGACTAAGAAGCCGTGCTTGCGAGCTTTGTCCAGGCAGGCGTCAAGGCTGAAAAGTGTGTTAGACCCTTCCAGGAGATCCCTGATTGTTTTTGTCAGCTTGCCCATCAATTCTGCTTCGTTTCTGTTCTTGATACCTATTTTTATGTTTTGGCTAGACCGGCCAGCTGCAACATTCTCTTTTTCAGTGAAAAGACAAACCAAAGGCCTTTGCGACTGCCACAGGTCACGTAAAATTTTCATCCCTTTCTTGTCGCTCTGATCAGACTCAGACACGAGAACCACGTTCACAGCAGATATCTCCTGTAAAAACTGCAGCTGTTCTTCGTGGTGCTTCGCATCTCCGTGCAGGTTACAGAAAGCAATGCAGCGGTCGAAGCTGTCATCGTCGCTGCCCCGGGGACAGTACCAGGAGATCTCCACAACACCTTTCATCAGCAAGCAGTCTTTGCTGCTGCCTTTGCAATGTCGGTGGAAAAAAGTGTCATGCTTTTGTTTGCTCAGCAGAGCATTCATGATCTGAGACTTGGAAGAGGAGGGAGAGCTGCCAATCCGTATGAAGGACACGATGGGTGTCTCTGCCTGATAAATGAGTTTGTTTTTGTAACTGGTAATTCTGGTCTGCCCCCCGAGCTTCTCAGCCCCTTTCCAGCTCTTTTTTATTTGGCTGAGGGACCAGAGGGGGAACTCTATCCGTGAAGTGCATGGGTTTGGTACCAGGAGGGGTAGCGCAAATTGGCAGAAAGCAAGCTTTGTGGAAATGTACTGTCTCATGAAGTCATCAGCGCAATGAAAAATGGCCATCTGGAGGTCCATGGGGTGCACACAACGGGCCCTGGCTGCAGATTCAGGAGCTTCTTCCTCCAAATCGGTGAAAAAGTCATCAAAGGAATCTGAGGGTTCATGCTCTTGCTCTGTGGTTTTTAGCACGTGTGCGAGTCCTGGGTTGCTCTCGTCCTTGCAAGTCAGGTACCTCACCCGGTAATCCACAGTTAGTAGCTTTTGCAAGAAGTAAAATGGTAGTTCAGCGTCCTTGCTGGGCTGGCTGTCCTGTACAGATGTCTTGTATATGATGTGGAAATCTTCTGTCCCCATTTTTCTTGGATAGTGATTTTCTAGTCCAAGGCGTTTAAGTAAGTGGAGGAACTCTTGGTTTGCAATGGCTTGATTTGCTTTGGATTCGCTGCCGTCTGGTTTGGATTTGGGCTGACTGGAAGGCTCTGTTCTTTGAAAAGTGTCTTCCATGTCTTTGATGATAGTGTGTTTCCTCAGATCGTCACACGTGTCATCCAAGTGCCCGTTGATGAAGGATTGCAAGTCGGTTTCCAGCATCTCCCAGTCTTTCGATGCACTGTGCTTTTTGAGGAGAGTTTCTACCTCTGTGGACCATAGGTTTTTCATTTGATCTTCCATGAAAACTAAACGCTCACTCTTCTGCTCAGGGGACACCTCTTTACGTTTGGGTGTCACAGTTAGACCAGTCAGCAGCAGGAAGGCCTGGGCTCTGTAAACATCTTGCTCCTTCAGGCTCAGATACTCCTTATGTCCCGTTTGCATTTCATTTATCATGTAGTTAATTTCTGGACATCCGAGGAGGTACTGAAAAGTGCTGCTTTCCACCTGGTATCCCGTGCTGGTCGTAATTAAGAGCACCAGCAGTTCTATGTCTTTCTGTGCCCTTTCCTGGAGAAACTGGAGCAAGGAATAAACAGCTAGGCTTGCAGTCAAGGTGGCTTTTATCTTTGCTTCGTGAACGGCAGATGCAGAGGTTTTTGGTGCATAGGTGACGTCCTGGATGTGCTCCTTCATTTGCAGCAGTGTCTTGGTGAGATCTTCAAGCTCAGAAACATTGGGAGTTTCGGGAAGCATGTGCTCAGTATGGAAGACCCATTCCATAATGAAGGAAGACCTAGGGAAGTCCTTGACAGAGTAGACATAAGGATCCAGGAGGCACCTCAACAGAGACTTGATATAGATGGTGTTTTCTGGAGGTGACTTCTTGTAAAACAGAACGGTATTCACCAGGAACTCCTGCAGTGCTTTGTCCGACAGGCATACGTTGATCCAGACACTGTGGTTTTTGGTTTTTTCGTTCAGCTTCTGCTTGAAATCTATCAGCATGAGCAGTTTCTTTTCATCCACCGTCACCTCCCAGTCCTTCATGTGCTCCAGGAAAGCTCTGGCCTCTTCCACTGCGCTGACCAGTTCGTCTCCAAACATGGTGCCAACGTTGTGATTTGTTAGCGCTTCGTACACAGCCCTGAGGCCGCTGCTGATTTGATAGGTGGACTTAAAATCACTGCTGTGATTGGACAGGATTATATCCCACACTGGGATCAGCTGAAAGCCTCGGTCAATAACGCACCAGGTGGTGTTATTCGTTACAAGCCCCGATTTCCACTGAGGAAGAGAATCCGTCTCTGATGGGCCCCCCGTTTTGGTCACGTACAGCTGAACCTTTTTTTTTCGTCTCTTCTCTGAAAAGAAGCCTGTGAGCTGGACTTCGAAACCTCCACGTTCGCTGCTACGCTGACGCCAAAGCCGCTGTAGCTGGCCCCGATGTAGCAGCTCAGCGCTTCGGATACTTGTCGCTTCATCTCTTCCCACTGCTCAGCTCTGAATCCTTCCGTAGATGCCTTCCACCAGAATATCCCCCCAAAATGGAGGGGACCCTGGTTTACATGGGACCCAAACCTGCCGAAGAAGCCCGTACACCTGCTCTTCAGCAAGTTGGGCCTGTCTGCTTCCTCAGTGACGCTCAGAAGCTCCTCGATGTCTTTCAGCTCCTGCAGGGCCGCATCCGAGAGGTAAAGCTGATGCTTTTGGAAGTAGCAGGAGGCCAGAGGGATGTACTGGTACTTGGTGGTGCAAAGGTAGCTCTGCTCAGAGCGGGACTGGTAGGTGTCCTCCGACTGTGAGGAGCTGCTGTAATCCACACCAGTTTCAACGTTAAACCCCCAGAACCCGGCTTTGGCAGAAACGCTGATGCTGAACCCCAGCTGCTCCATGGACTTGGTGAAAGTGGCTTCCGCTGCAGAGCAGGAGAACTCCTTCCTCTCAAGCAGTGACCCTTGCTCTGGACCAGTGAGCTTGAATCCGTCAGGAACCCTGATGAGCTGGTCTCGCTTTGCCAGCACATCCGCGAGGCTGCTAGTTCTGTAAATGCCCTGCAGGGCCAGTCCCCCCGACGCCCGCCCCAGGACCTCCACGTCGGAGACGTTCTCACCCCTGCCCACTGACGACTCCTGCTGCTCCAGACGCTTCTGGATGCTCTCCAGCACATCCACCAGTGACTCTCCCGGTGATGCCCAGTACTCTTTGGGAATCTCCAGTGCTTGCCACAGAGCCTCCTCTTTCTGCTTTACAGCGTCCCTGCTGTGGCTGCGGCTGTTTTGCGTTTCCTTCAGCTCCTTCAGGGCTAGCTTGGCTGCTTCTTGTCTCTGCTTTGCCATCTCCAAGCGCTGCTTCTGCAGCTGCTCGAGAGTTGCTTTGTTTTCTCTTAGTCCCAGGAGTTTTTGGAGCGCCTTTATTTCCCAGGGGTACCGTACTTCGCACTCCAGCTTAAGATAATCTTCATATTGCAGATGTTTCAGGGCTTCTCTAGACTTGACTCCCAGTATCACTGACAGTTTGGGGAGCCAGTATCCATCATCCAGTCCTTCTTTCTCACATGCTTCTGCCAGGAGTTTTTTAGCAAGATGCACCTTTTTGTCATCCTCTAGGTTGTCCTCCTGTGAACCCATGGCTGTAGAAGAAGAATAAAGACTTTCTTTAAGGTACATTGTAAGAGGCCCCGACCTCTTATAAGAGGCTCTCCAGCAGCTCCAGCCCTGGGGATTCCTCCTACCCAGCTGCTGGAGCCCAGCCTGGGATGCCCCAAGACCCAGGGGTCTCCAACCCAGGATGATCACAGCATCACAGGATTCTGTGATTCACGTTCAGTGGATATGCCTGCTGCTTCCCCATGTGCAAGTTCAACCCTGAAGCTGAGTGTGGATCCTGGAGACAACACACACACACTCTGACTTGGCCACACAACCTGCCACAGACAAGATG